CCCGGCCGCGCCGGACAGCACCGGGCGCCCGCGCCGCCGCGCGCCGTCCGAAGCCGGGCGCGCGCACCGCACCCAACCCCCCCCCGCGATCTCAGTAAAGAACCCACGTCTCGAGCTCGCGCGGATGCGCGCGACGCGTGCGCGCGTGCGTTACGTTGAAGGAATTGCCACTCCTGATTTGGCGGCGGACGCACCCAAAAGGGGGGGGTTTGCTCCGTAGTGGCGCCCCGGCCGACCCCTCCAGCGCAGCGACGCGGTACTCGAAAGTCACGATCTTGAGCGCGATCGAACCTTCATAGTACCGTCGACTAGGAAACCAAGGGGCACGTCCAACACCATCGATGGTGGCGAGATCGGCTGTGCCGGATTTGTCCGTAGGAGCGCGGTGGACGAGCGAGGCCCGTAGGGTGGATTTTGGACCGACACCGAAACGGCGTCTCCGGAACTCACCAACCGTCCAGGGCGACGCCAGGGGTCATGGGGCGTCGCCCCGACCACAAAAAGCGACCGTTCTGCACCTATACGCAGCGCATGGCTGGCGCGTATACGCGCGTATTCGTACGTAGGCGGTCCTTTTTCGAGGATATTGTGCCGAGATCGTCGAGTTAGAAAGAGCTTGCTTCACGCGAGCGTAGCCACCGGACCTCTCCCGGCGCATGCAAAAAAGAGTGACTTTAGACGCCGCCGTCGCGCGACGGCGCCGACCTTGCCGAAGCAACCCCCCCCATACCCAAAGAACACCGAGCAGAGCCGCAGCCGTCGGGCAGAGCGCGAGGCGGGGGCACACGTCGGAGCCCCCAGCGCACCTGCCGCGCGCGCCGAAACCGACCGCTCGACGAGTCATGTCGCTCGCCGCGACGCGCTTCCTGCGGGGCCGGCTCCAGCCTGGCCAGACCGACGACGCCATGGACGACGGCGCCCCCGGCGGCAACGACGACCCCCAGCTCGAGGAGGCCTTCCTCTTCCTCGCGGTGCTCGCCTGCCTCGTGTGCTGCTGCTTCTCGACGTGCATCGTGCGGCGCCTGCGGCGGCTCAGCGGCTACGGCGGCCGGTACCTGTCGGCGGAGCTCACGCAGCCGCTCCTCGACGAGGCCGACTCGGAGGCGGTCTTCCGGGACGGCGACGGCTGGCGGTGCCCCATCTGCGCGCTCGAGAACCGCGTGTCGTCGGGCGCCTGCGATGTGTGTGGTTTGAGCCAGCGCGTCGGCACGGGGCCGCGCGCCCGGGAATTGGAGGCCAAGGCGCGGCTCGGCGCGGGCTACGCGAGCGAGCGCAGTTTAAGTGTCCCCGACGAGGCCAAGGAGGACGAGGCGAAGAAGCCGAGCCGGTCGCCGCGGCGCAAGGGTCCCGCAAGGAC